GTTAATTAACAAACGGAGACGTAACACCCCCTTAAAAACAGCAATGATGTACAAAATCTTCTTGGGAGCATTATTGAGATGTCATACAAACGGAGACGTAACACCCACTTAAAAACAGCACTGATGTACAAAATCTTCTTGGGAGCATTATTGAGATGTCATACCATATACCATAATTATTGATATCTTATAAATGACTGATATAAGTAGCTATTTGATTAGCTCTGGTACTGAACAAATACCTCGTTGTCAGTGTCTTGCAGCATATAATATATCCGGTTAAAATAAGATTATATTCTTCATTCTAGATACCTTGTCGTATATGTGTTATTGTGTCAAACTTGTAAATAAAATTTTCTTCTACCTATTCGAGCCGGTTCTAAACTTTATTGCTACAAGCTTGTATGGGGCCAGCAAATAAAGGATTCTTAAAGAATTATTATCCAATCCTATTGCAATATAATGCTACATAAACGATCGATTTGTAGCTCACACTTCGCAGGCATAAGGCGTTATGTACCAAGATAATAAGTGTCGTTTACTTGTCTGCAAAATCCTGGTGGTTAGGGCACTCGAATCGCATTCTGCAAGTCGTGGGATTTAATCCCGTCATCAAACATTATAATATGACGACCAATTCCACAACTGGTTGGTAAATAGTACCCCAAGAGTTGGCGTTGGGTGGTGTTGACTGGCTGCTTTTAGTCTAACGCTTCAAAATTAGGAACGGCTATCGCAGGAAGCCCTAGATTACATTGCTTAAAATTTGACACAAAACAACAACAAAAAAGACGTATTACATACTTAGACCCAACAATATGATATTCCAAGAGTAGCCAGGAATTCATTCAGTTGAAGTTCTTGGTAATAGTATTTCCATTCATGAAAATGATTACGCAACAACATAAAAAATTAAATATAACCTATAGATCTTATTAAAAATTGTTTATTAAACGATAAAGTTATATATATACATATTTTATATTAATACTAGCAATTAATTTACAAAAGATCATATTCAAGTGGCTTTCAATGTTACTAGAGTTCGGCGTTCATTATGGCTGATATGGGATTAACTATCATCATCAGCTGATGGGGTACGTGGAATATGTTGGGTATGTGTTGGATACATTATTGGTCAATGAACGAAAATTATGAGCATATGGAGTAATGCATATGACATCAATTTATATCATATACACTTAGAATTATGTGGGCTAAAACTTAGAAAAGTAAGTTATATCGCAAATAAAGTTCAATCTTACGTTACTTCAGTCTTCAAATTCAATACTTGTGAAGTGTATGATACTGATAGTATATTATTATTAATATTATTGTAATTGATATTATAGTACCGAGTTGGTGCACAGAAAAGTGAGATAGTAAAATTTAGAATTGGTCTATACTTATAATTATCATTATTACTATTAGTATTAGGTTAGGCTTAGAAAGATTTCTTAGTCTAAATAAAAGAATCTGTTGTTTTGTTCGACCAGTCTTAACTGAGTAAGCTTCCTAAATAGTGTTGTTGCCTCAAGAAAAGCAAATGAGATTTTGGGTTATATAACTTATAAGTCAAACTCGAAGGTTATTGTTTATGTGTACAGATCTCTGGTTAGGCCTCATTTAGAATATGTTTGGTCTTGGGCATCTTACTTTTACTAGTTTAACTTTAAGGATATTTAGTTGTTGCAAAGAATTTAAAAGATAAATACTAGGAAAATGATGATTTCTGAGATGGAGAGATCTCATATGAGGATGGTTAAGGCCTTAAACTTTAAAGGTATTTTCTCTTGAGAAAAGGAAAGTTGGAGCAGGGGATCTGACTGAAGTGCTAAAAATGAATTAAAATAAAATTGTATAGGGAATAGATAAAATTGATGCACATACTCTGAGTCTGAAGACCAGGATGAGAGGACACAATTTAAGATTCAGAAAAAACAGGCTAGACTCTGATTAAAATAGTTTTATTTTTATAATAAGATGAGTTACTGTCAACAGTATTGGTTGACCAACACATTAAAGGTGTTTAAAAGTAGAATTGATGATTTCCTGAAAAATACATGTAATTGGATTTACATTTTTACTTTTTTTCCAAGGTTGAGTGTGCAAGGATAGTTGTGAAGGACCATATAGTTCCTTCTTGTTCATATGCCTTGTTGTTGATCCACAAAATGTCACCTGGCATCTGGGAAATTGTAGTGAAATTATCATGAAAAAACATGTTTTTGTACATACACTAATATTTATAATATAAATATATACCACATAAAGTTTTATGCTGACTGTCAATTTCTGATAAATGTGATATACTATAAATGAAATCCAAAGATTTCTGATGTTTGACATCTGACACTTATTTTGCAAGTAAGCTCTTTGTTGCTGATACACTGCTAAAAAAAAAAACTGGTGCAGAAATTTCTTTTGTGGCCATTATATTGCACAGAAAAGATTGCATGAGTGGTTGACCTTCAAAGCATTTGTAAACATTAAATTACATGAAAAGTATTATGTGTATTTTATGTCTAAAGTTCATAACTTACCAAAAATTGAAAATTATTTTAAATTGTCTTGGGGGGGAAAAGGTGGGGATGACCATCATTTCTTTTCACTGTTCTGTCTTCTAGAATATATTTCTGGCTCAGAGATGTTATATATATTGGGAATTCCTGGTTATCATTTTCCTTTTTGATATGTTAAAACTATTAGTTTAATCTACCAACAGCAAAGGAACATTTGGTTCTTTTAAGATTGCCTTTTGATACCCACTCTTTTAAGGAAATTGTTGATTCCTCTCATAAACGAGAAGAAGCCTATATCTTATTGATCACCTAGATAATCTTGTAATCTTCAGTGAGATCTCCTATGGCCCTTTTCTCAAACATAGCAAATTGTAAGATCTTGAACTATCTCTTTTAGATAACATTTTCATCTCTGGAAACATTTTTGTAGCTTTCACCTGAACCTTTCTAATAATTAAATGTGTCATTCCATGTCAAGTCACCAAGCAAAAAATCATTTTGACACCCAACATCTCAGAATCGGCCAATTTTTTAACTGATGGTACCTAGCTATAGATTAAGTATACCTACAAATTTTTTTGCAAAATTCTTTCTCCTTCCTTAAATAGAAACATTTGAATTTTAGCCAAATGTGGTCAAACATTGCTTGTGGTGGCCATTTTGGATTTTCACAAATACCCTATTCCATTGTAATTATTTTCATAATTTTACCCAATTTTATTGAAATTGGACCAACATTTTTCTCTCCCTCTAATTCACGTATAAGGAATCCAAATATGGATTCAGCTTTAACTTGTATCCTAAAACAATCCCCCAAATTACCATTTATACCCCTCTACTATAGAATTTTAAGATTTATGAAAGGGTTCATGCCCTGTTTTTTGAAATTATTGGAATCCAATGTTTGACAAAACTTATCAACACCAAATTTGAAGCTAATACTCTTCAAACCATGTAATTTACTACATTAAAAACCTAAGATGTTTTTTTTTCCTTGTTCTAAAGTAATAGTCCTCTGAAAATTGACTAAATTATAAGGCCAATATGACTAAATTCTATTTCACATGATTTATTGATATTGATGTTGAATTTCAAAGAGTGCTTAAAACTATATTGAGGTTACTTCATTAATCAAACTGAATATTATGTACATCAGTTACAGAAGATTGATGCAATTCTAAAGTCAGTTTTAATAGTATTAATTGTTCTCTGATGTCACCCTTATAGGAAAAAGGCTAATCTCTGTTCACCAAATTATTCTATAGTCAGTATTCAACTATGTAATCATGAAATAATGTAATGAATAAATCCTTTGTTAAAGGTGTTGAATGTTTGCATAATACATTGAATGGGACTTGTAATAACTCTTCCTGAAGCATTGAGCTAATAAATGAATTAGGATAGAACATTTACTCAAAATTCCTTGTGTTGAAATAACAACAGTTGTCTTTGACACATTTATGTACAATTTATCTATGAATGCATTTAATCATTCCTTTCATCAATTTTCTCACCTAATTTAATATTTTGCAAGACCAACCAATGCTTGTCTTTCTCTTTAACATAAATAGGGTCAACTGTTCATTCTTTATATTCATATCTTTGCTTGGTAGCTTAACTTCTTATTCTAAACTTGAAAATGTGCTCTTACGAGAACTGTACATTTGGCAGGATTCTTTCAGATAATTGCCATTTGCTGGACTATACAAGAGGTACTGGATTGAAATTGTTCATTTTTTGGATGCTGAGAAAATTCAGGTATTAACTTGGAGAACAAGCATTACATTTAATGATGATCAAACAATATGTTTACATCATGAATAAAAACTATTATTGATGTATGTTCAACTTCAAAGAAAGTGATGCAATCCATTTAAGAAGCACAAGAAAGCTGTGAAGCCTTCCTTAAGGGAAATAAGACTGGAACTGGCAACTAATGCTTGAACTGCTAACAAACACACTGTACCTGGAAAAAAGTTATGCCCTTTGTGTCATGTTAGTATCAACAATTGTCTGAAAAAGGAAGAACATTTTTCCTCAGAAGAGAAGATGATACTACACAACAAGTTTGGATTCATCATTAATTGAGATGGATGTTAGTCCTGTGAAGCTTTACTCAGTGACATCTCATTAAAAAATCTCATACAGGAAGCAAAACAAGTAGAGAGCAAGTACAGAAAAAGCTAGAAGAACGAAGATTGACAAATTGGAATCAAGTTGCTGATTTCATTCAAGTTCCAGCAGAATCTTTGGAATTACAGAAATGAATATCTGGACAAAATATTGCCATAATGGAACAGAAAAGCAAGGATCTGGACTCACTGATTTTCTTCATGAATGAGCAACTGAAAGTTTCAAACCTGGCCAGAAAAATTCAAATATTGACAATGGTAGCACCTTCTTGGTCAATCAAGAAAGCTCATGAAATTTTTAATGTTTCAGAATATGTGGCTAGGCAGGCCAGGAAATTAGATGCGGAAAAAGGAATTAGGGAGTTACCAGAAAAGAAACAGGAAAACAGTGTCAAAAGAAACTGAAAAATTATTACACCATTCTACTTTGACGATGAGTATAGTCGACAGATATTTGCAAAATGAACTTTGTAAGCCTTTGGAAGAATGTCGATATACAAAAACAACTTTTCCTGTGCTTTACAAGTTATTTAAAGATAACAATCACAATTTAAACATAGGATTTTTGAAATTTTTTAGCCTCACGCCAAAATGGTGTGTACTTTTTGGGTCTTCCGAGACACATTCAGTTTGCATCAGTACCATGCATCAGAATGTTGCTTTGATGTTGAATTCTGTCAAAGTAGACAAATCCTACCATGAACTCATCAATACGATTGTTTGTAACCAAGATAAGAAAGATTGTATGCTTCATTGGTGTGAAAAATGTCCATGTATTTGAAATCTGAGAGCTTATATTGAAGAAAAACTTTTCGATAATGATGGAGCTGGAAGTGGGGAAAGAGATGATTTTGACGAGTAGGAGATAAGGTTTCAACAATGGATGGCGATTGACAGGTCGCAGTTAATTGCTATCTCGTTTTCAGTAAACGAATTTATCGACAAGCTAATTGACAAGTTAGATTATATAATGGCACACTCTTTTATTGCTAAAGCACAAACAAGTTTTCTCAAGAAATGCAAAGAAGAGTTGCACGATAATGATGGATTGGTATTGGGCCACTTTGCCAAAAATTACAAATTTGTGATACAAGATGAGGTGTAAAGTTATCATTGGAATCAACAATCATGCACTCTGCATCCTATCATTCTGTATCACAGAACAACAGGTGAATTGAAGGAACTGTCCCTTTGTTTTGTTTCAAATGACTTGAGTCATGACGTAGGCTTTGTTTATAGAGTCATAAGCCAAACCATCAACTACATCAAAAAAGAGATAAATGGTAAGATTAAGACAGTGCACTATTTTAGTGATGGTTGCGCAGGACAATATAAGAACTGACAAAATTTCATTAATTTATGTCTTCATCAGAGTAATTTTGGAGTAAATTATATTTGGGACTTTTTTTGCCACATCACATGGTAACTCACCTTGTGACAGTCTTGGAGGAACAATTAAATGCTTAACTGCAATGGCAAGTCTTCAAAGACCCTTATCAAACCAAATTTTGTAAGCAAAGGAAGTTTTTGAGTTTTGCAGAGATGAAATTAAAGGGGTAATAAAATTATTTATTTCACAAGATGAGATGACTGAATTGTGGGAATATCTGAAAGAATGATTTGAGCAAAGTAACATATTGACTGGAACTTGAAGTTTCCACCAATTTATACTACTATCAGATAGTGTTGTTGGTGTGAAGCGTGTCTCCTCTGATCAGGAGTTTACACTTACATTTGACCTGATATTAGAGAAAATCGTTCTGAAGAGATAAAAGAGTTCAACTTTGTTCTTTGCAATTATGATGAGAAGTACTGGGTTGGACTTGTTGATGAAGTTGACATTGAAAATAATAATATTCTTGTAAAATTCTTGCATCCGAAATATCCAGCTACATCCTACTTGTGGCCAAGGAGAGAGGATACTTACTTTGTACTGGAAACACATATTCTTTGCACAATAAATGCACCTGTAAGAGCAACTGGTCATCAATACCATTTGCAGGAGATTGATGTAAAAAAAAAATTGATGAGTTTCTGAAAAAAACAGGAGATCATTGACCAGATTTAAAGATGTTCAGACATTTCAGTCCAATAACTTGTTGGCTAGACCATTAAAACTGACTTTATAACTTCATAAATCTTCTGTAGCTCATGTAGATGATATTCAGTTTGATTATAGAAGTAACCTCAATATAGTTTTAAGCACTCTTTGAAATTGAACATCAGTATCAATATATCATGTGATATAGAATTTAGGCATATTGGCTTTATAATTTAGTCAATTTTCAGAGGACTATTACTTTGGAACAAGAAAAAAATCATCTCAGGTTTTTAATATAGTAAACTACATGGTTTGATGAGTATTTGCTCCAAATTTGGTGTTGACAAGTTTTGTCAAACATTGGATTCCAATAATTTCAAAAAACAGGGCATAAACACTTTCATAAATTTTAAAATTCTATAGTAGGGGGGTTTAAAGGGTAATTTGGGGAATTGTTTTAGGATATAAGTAAAAGCTATTTCCATATTTGAATTTCATGTACTTGAATTAGGGGCAGGAAAAATCTTGGTCCAATTTCAGTAAAATTGGGTAAAATTATGAAAATAATTGCAATGGAATAGGGTATTTGTGAAAATCCAAAATGGCCACCACAAGCAATGTTTGACCACATTTGGCTAAAATTCAAATGTTTCTATTTAAGGAAGGAGAAAGAATTTTGCAAAAATATTTTGTAGGTATACTTAATCCATAGCTAGGTACCATCAGTTAAAAAAGTGGGCCAATTCTGAGATGTTGGGTGTCATGCCCTCGGCAACTTGACATGGAATGACCCTAATATCCTTTCTTGAATAAAGAGACCAAACTGTGCACAGTATTCCAAGTGAAGTCTAACTAGGGATTTGTATAAAAAATAATTACAGCATTTGACTTAAAATCAAGATATTTTATTGATACATCCTAAAATTCTCCTTATCTGGGACATTTGATGTTGCCATGTTTCACCTTGTGGTTTAGTTTTGAAAAGCAGTGAGCACCATCTACTTTTACACCTTTCATATGCTCACTTTGAAAGGGCTTATTTAATGTGTTTGATTCCCTGTGAGGAGAAACCTGCCATTGTCTAGTGTTGCCCTCAAATGTATGAAGCACAAATTGTATCATTTCTCACAAGGATTCAGTTTGACTGGACCCTATTAATAAAAACATTTTACTTTCTTCTATCTAATTAACTAATCTTTCCCCATCCAATGTAAAGAAAATAGTTAACAGCTCAGCCATTTGATAATTTCAACAGTAACCTCACCACTTTAAAGAATCGGCCCCCATTCTAACATCTTACACACCTTTAACATACTTAAAAAGTCCCTACAGTTTTGTCATTATTTGTCAAACATTTTGCGAATGCCTTTTTTGGATTTCCTTATTTCTTTTTTAATTAAAATCCTAGCCTTCCTATACTTCTGTGAATCTTCTATCCTCCTGTAAATTTATACTTCTTAAACTTATTGCATTTATCCATGATTTTCTCTTTTATGTCATCAGCAGCTAGTTAGATTTTTTCTTCATTTTAATCTTTTTTCTCTATTTTTTAGGAAAATCCTTATCTTGAATTTTATTTTTAAATATTTACCAAATCTGTTTCACATCACTTTTTAACTCATTGTCACAATTCACTTATGATAAATCTTGTCTTCTAATCTCAAACTTTCTTAAACTAAAATGTATTTTCTTTTTTTACTTCAACATGTAGCAAAACATCAAACCTAACAATGCTTTCCAAAACCACATTCTCATTAGGGATTAACAATAAGTAATATAAGATCCATTCTAGTTTGTTCCTTGATTATTTGGTATAAAAATGAATGTGTGTCTAATTAATCTTCCATTAATATTTTAATTAGTAGCAACCCTGATCAGGTGACTATGATGTGTTAGTACAGTTAAAACTTTCGTAATTAATTTGTTAGCAGGCATTAATTCATTTACAAAATCTTTATATTTTGTGAACATGAAATGCATTAACAAGTTTGGTCTCATCGATTCTAGCAACATAGTTTTGACTTGTTTCTTTTTATACCGTGAATGTAGAAATTACAGTTCTTTAGTAGGCATATATATCTATGTATTCTGTTATGTAAAAGAACTTACAATTTTGTATATATTTTCTCTATTGACAGGTTTAAATCAAGCAACTAAAGAATGCATTTACAAATAATTTGATGCAAAGAGTGAATTTTTTCACAGTGCAAAAGGTGAGTTGGGTAAGGGACATACCCGTGATCCTATCGTGGACTCTACTGTTCCATTTATAAAGGAAACTGTCATTTTTAGCAAAGATCTATCGTTGAATCTGCTGATCCATTTATAAAGAACACTGTCAATTTTAGGAAAAATCACTTCATGTAGACTAGTGTCATCATCATCAGTTTGTCGACACAGAATGTACCGTGCTGCTTTTCCAGCTCAGTGGGTTGTAACTTCATCAGTCAGTCAAAGTAACAACTCTCCTGCCTTTTTTACAGGATGCACTGATGTTTTACCATTATTAACTGTTGATCAGTTTGCAGCTTCTAGAGCTCCAGTTAATATAGCCACAAGTAGCGGTGTACTTACTCTCCCTTCTCATGCAGACCTTGTACGATTGGGTGTACCACCTACATTTCTGATGGTGAACAAGAGAGGGCCAGTTTCACCTCATTACCTACCTGCTGTGAATTATCACCACACACCTCGACGCATTCCACAACTAGCATCTGTCAACCACAAAACTAAAGAAAATCTTGAAGAGTCAACAAGCAGTGTTGATAGTGGTTTATTTTCTCACTCTCCCACTCCTACAGCTGCTGGAACCAAAACACAAAAACAGGCACTAGCTAAAACCAAACTCGAGAATACAGAAGCTCTGTCCCTTGGAAAAGGTGTAAAGTAAGTGTTAGTTTTCATTGTTCTGTCGTATTTATATCTTTTTAAATGATACTTGTTTGAAGTAATAAATGAGTGAAATCACAAGTTTTTATTAAAGAAACCACTTACTCCACAAACAAAATGTATAGTCTTAGACCGCTAAATCATCTGTTCATGGTCTCTATCAAATGAACCAACCTCCATATCTGTGAAGGTATATGTACTAATGTTTACTATAATTCTAAATTCACTATGTTTATCTTTATAAAATTTGGTTAAGCTTTTAGGAAACATTACAAATCTCTTGTAAACAAAAAAATTTATTTTGTAATAAACTATTTTTAGAAAATATTTCTGTAAATTTCCAAAGCTTTTACTGTGTCAATCTGAGTGAAAGGTAAATTTTCATACTGAGAATGAAAATACTTCTATTCATTTTACTGTTTTCATATTCCATATTTTAAAACCTCTAGAACCTTCCACATGAATATAAGAAATTAGTTTTCAGTGAAACTATATTTTATCTCGTATTTTCTTTACCCTAACACTAACTGTAACAGAATCATCAATGTACAGTGAAAGTAAAAGTTTAAAAATATGTAATAAATGCATAATACATTTTTTCCTTTGCATTGACTACAGTATTCATCGAATTTCATTAATTTTTTTGTACTTGTTTCCTTTTAACTTTGTGGTTTTATTGCTGTACTTTGTACCCATTGGAGCAGTAAATCCTCATATCAAAAGCAGTAAATCATAGTAGGAGCCTATTAGCTGTTTTGTGTAGAGCAAACATAAAACATTATTATGGGGTGTCATGTTGCATACTCATTTGAGTTCATGAAATTCTAGACATTGTGTTTCACTGAAGTATTTGATTTTTACAATGTAGTTGCTTTTGTTAGTAAACAATATATAATGATAAATATATACGTAAGATAAGGATTTAGAGTACTTACTGTATACTTGAGTTTTTTTGCACTCAAGTAAAAATTGAAGGCATTCTTTCATATGCATTACTGACTCTCCCAAATTTGGATGTCCACAAAAGAATTTATGCACCTTTCAGATATGCATTTTATAATGCAAAAAGTACATCAGGCACTAGAATACAATGTCCCATAACTACTGTAATTTACCGGCTTTCTGAGTTAGCTATAAATAGGTTAAAGAAATTCATTTAGCTGTTGAAGCAGCAAAATGATCAACACAAACCAAGCAATTATGCTGACTAACAGTTTATGGCAGGAAAACTAAACAAGAATTTGTAATTTGTATAGAGGAAAATTTGCTTTTTCTACTCATTATAGATATGTCCAGCAGCCCTGTATAGTTGATTGGCAAACAATCACAAAAGCCAGAGAGAGAGAGGTGAGATGCTTTCCTGGTGTATTTCACAAATTTATTGTTATCTCAAAAAAATTAAGAATGTAGGAGGTTTAAACTATAGATTTTTGGTTGCAATTAGGTATAGTTTGTATTTTTAATTGGTTGGAAACTTCAGCAGCCTATTTTTGATGTTAGAAAATTCTGGAAGGGAGAAGTTGAAGATTAGACACAGAAAAAATGCTTTTTTTTAATATTTCATAAATAACCATACTTTTCTGTGTGGTAGGTATTGCATCTTTGTGTGTTTTACAGTAGGGGTTCACTGTTGGAAAACATTTAGTAATGGCCGTTTTCAATTCTCGTGCCACTGCAAATTTGGTATGTAGGTCGCACTTTACAAAAATTGCAGAATAGAATTAAACAACATGTACCCACATACATAAGAACTAAGAGTGTGAAAGTAAAGAATTTACCATGTCTCTCCTGTAAAACAAAAGTTCTACTACCAAAATGTGAATCAGTGATTGGCCAGCATTTACTAGTGAACCTGACTTGCTCTGACAACTACATAGATAGCACATTTGAAATTATTGCAAATGGTCGGTCAACCTTTCATTTCTCTATTTTGGAATCCACCTTTATTAAAACACATAAACCTGTCCTTTGGTGCCAAAAATTCCTATACAATCTACACATCCTTCAGTAGGTCTGTGACATTTCCTGATTGGCTAAAGGATATGCCAATCAGTGTTTGCCTTACTGGCCTACGTTGATCAGACTCATTTTATAAGCTGTACTATTTCCTATAGATCATTTTCCAGATGGTTCTGCTTTGATTAGTGTCTGGTGAAAGGCTTCAGCAGATATTTCTTTTGCAACATCTCAGACAACAATTGGTCCAGTTCAAGATCTACATATCTACATGAGCCGATGTTTCCATTTATGAATGTTATATTTTAAGATCTGTGCAAGAACTGACTCATTTTATAAGCTGTACTATTTCCTACAGATCATTTTCCAGATGGTTTTGCTATAATTAGTGTCTGGCAAAAAGCTTCAGCAGATATTTCTTTTGCAACATCTCAAACAACAATTGGTCCAGTAAGCAATGCTATTTTCAAGTTTTGAACAACTCGGTATTCAAGATCTATGTATCTACATGAGCCAATGTTTCCATTTATGAATGTTATATTTTAAGATCTGTGCAAGAACTCAGCTAACAGATGTTTCTGTATATCAAAGCTATCTTCAAATTTTAGAAACAAATTATCTCTTCTAGTTACAAACTATGATCTTGTTTGCTGCTTGCCATAGGTTGCTAAGCCTTATCAAATTTCTCATAT